TCCTGCCTCCCCCCTTTCTGTTAGCCCTTAAAAGCCTCTCCCTCCTAACATGCCCCAGTTCTGACGAAGGGTCGTGGACCTGAAACGTTGACTCACTTCCCTTTCTCTATAGATACTGCCTGACCTGCTGAGTGTTCCCAGCGACTTGTTTTCATTTTCGAAATAATGCTGATTAATACAAGATTTCTTTCCTCCTCATACAACTTCTGCCCGCAAGCCAAAGGATTAGAGAATTTCAAATGCTACTTCAAATACTCTTTTTGACAACTGTCGATATCTCTATTTTCCATCTTTCAAAGGTCTGATAGCCCTACAAACCATCGCTCCACTCCCCTCCAGAATGCAATCCCTGCTCCACTTGTTTCTGAGGATGAATAGGAAAGAGAGAGACCTATTAAAGCCTTTATTTTAATAAAACGGCAAGGGGTTTCCAGTTCCAAAACATAGTCAAGATGGAAACTATTTTTAAAAAGAATCAAAACTAGGAGGACTGGACACACTGTATTAGTACAATGTCCTTCCTGGGATTCAGTTATGAATCCAACCTTGACTTAAGGGAATGAAAAGCATCCTCTGTACACATGTTAAGTAAAGCTAGTGATGGATGGTCTCAATGCAGGTCCTTGTGGATAAGGAAAGTGACCACAACTCAACACAATTTGGAAATTCCACTCAAGAAAGTGGGAAATGTGAATAGGTACTACTACAGTGGTAAATACCCTTTTAAAGTTGAGGGTTATAGCATAATCAGAGTACAAAGTATATTCTTACAATTAGATTATAGTTTGTCACTCAGAGCACTGTCTGACTAACTTCCCGTTGTTTGTCCAGTTAGGATGACCCTACCCTTCAGGGCTTTGCTTGTAACATTAACAAGAGATAAGTGCAAAGAATCCTGTAATTAAACTTTTATGATGTAAACATCATGTCATTTCCATCAGTGACTATGAATAGGAATGGTGAACTCCTAAGAAGTTTTCAACGAGAAACTGTACATGATAAAACACAATAGTTTAATAGATATGTATGACTAATAATTTCTTTAATAAGATTAAGGTCTGTAGTAATTTCCGAGTCCATTTCCTCTTTAACAAAATACATTCCAAGTTGTTTTTTCACTGGGGAAAGTCAATGCAGAATGTCCTATGTGTTCAATAGTAGCTAGATCATTGAAGTCCTGATATTTAGGCAAAGTACCAATGATCTGCAGTTATAAAAGACAACAGTAAGTTTATCAACAATGCTGAGTATCCACCATACTTCTATATACTGTATATGGCAATGAAGAGTAAATAGGATGTGTAAGAAAATGCTACAAAGTGGATAAAGCTGAAAGCTCTTTAACTTGGGGGCAATGTAGTACATAAGGTTGATTTTGTTACTGTTTCACAAACAGCTTACAGTAGTTATTAGAACAGTCCAGCAGGCCTCAATTCCTTCATTAAGGATACATTTATTTTTTCATTGCCCTACATATATGCTGTGTTTAAAACAATTAAAAAAATCAACATGGGATCTCATCCCCAAGGGCATTTCCATTAAAAGCAACTGACTCTGAGGCCAATCAATACATTTTTAAACTGATGACATTAAAATTCCATGTATGTTTAAAGACTATTACTGGACAGAGTAAAAACATTGTAGTGCAATGTATCCCCCTCATGCATGGTTAGGCTTCTAACAGTTCTACCTCAATCAAAGGGCAACATGAAGAAATGTGGAAATCAGGCTACCATATGTGACGTGGAAACTCTGCAAGAATAAAATGTCTTGGCTCCGGTGTTATCATTAAGCCAAGCAAATCACCTGAGCATTTCAGGTACACTAAATGTCAAATGATGCGGCCAATGACAGGAATATGGCTTCCTTCTTGTCAACATTTAGTTGCAAGAAGTTTGCTCTCACTCAGGTCCTGATGTCTGCCAGACAAGCTGACACAACATTGGCGGATCTGGAGTCGCAGCTGGAGAAGTAGATTTGTGCGTCATCCGTATAACGTTTGGAAGTTTACCCGGTGTCTGCGAATGACATTGTCAAGAGGAAGGAGAAACCGTTTGAAGAGACAAAGTGGAGGCGGCTTGTTAGATCAGACTCAAACCAGGATGGTATGGTCCCACTGAGGTGAATGAGGGAGGAGCGGCGGTGGATGAGGATGGGGTGGTCGACTGTGTCGCGAGGTCTAGGAGGACGAGGAGGCAGAGGGAGCCCTGGTCAGAGAGAGAGGAAGTCGTTTGTGACCTTGACAAGCGCCGTTTCAGTGCTATGGACAGGGTGGAAACCAGACTGGAGGGGCTCGAGTAGGGAGTGGAGGGAGAGGTGTGAGCAAAGCTCTTATGAGCACAAGACCCAATATGGAGCTCAGGACAGGCTGCTTACAATCATTCTCATAATCCACAGACATCCCCTGTTTGGCGCCTAGATTTCTGCCACAGCAACAGTATTTAGCAATCAATGGTGAGATACTTCATCAGTGTAGTATAAGTACAGTTGTCCTGTACAGTTTATTTTTACATCTTGTATATTTAAATTGTTTAATACAGTGAGATCATGCATCATCAATAATAAATTTACATTCTATTAGACCTTTTCGAATCAGGAGGATGTCCCAAGGTGCTGTACAGTGCAAGGTTTGCACCCAATTTGTGGGTGGAAAAATTAATGAAGGAGAAAAAGAGGAAGATCTTCAAGCAGACCTTGACCTTGAAGAAGGCGAGGGAAGGGGCAAGTTGTAGGCACTCCAGGATGGAGTTCCAGAGAGTGGGAGCACATCAATATGCCCCAAAATATTTTTATTTTTAAAAAATAAAAAAATACAATTTCAAACCCTGGATATTAAACATCAACAATTTTTAAAAATAAAAATAATTTTCACAGCACCTAACTAAATAAAGACACGCAAGTGACAGTAACTATTATTCAATGTCTTCACAACAATTTATGCTCTTTCAGAATTGCCTTAACGTACCCAAAAACCATACTGTAGGTACACACCCATCTGAAATGTCAGGCATTTTATTCTTAACCTCACTCTAAACACATTTAATGGAGCAACGTTCTTTCTGATGGTTCCAGCTGTAAAAATGTTATCTCTACAATTTCAGGCCACTTTCGGTAATGAACTGATACAATGATGACTGGATTGTTGCAATAGAGTTTAAACAACTTCATAAGCAAATACATTTCAGAATACAGCTAATTTTACAAATTACTTTTTCCCTCAAACAATGTTCTGTTATGAATACATGGGGCATAATTAATGATGCCGGAGTATTTATTACCACCATGTAACAAATGCTTACAATATTTTATATCAATCAAGACAGGGATATCACATAATAGTCAAGTAAAATGTATCAAAAAGATATCAGGTTATCAAATAATGAATTTGTTTCCTTGATTAGAAAAGTTACACGAGTTTCGTAAATCAGAACAACCTTTCCTTTGTTGATCTTAAACATCCAATGCATCATGTTGTAGTGACAGAATCATGATCGTTTTTGTTAAAGTAACTTTTAAGTAATTTTGTTTAAGTAACTTTTTTTTTAAAAAAAATCCCCGAACAGTTCATTGAATTAACATGAAGCAACTCCTAAATAAAAAGGGAGAACCCACTCAAGCACAAAATCTCAGGTTCATTTAAGAAATCAGTACTGACATTTCAACGTCTATGGTACTGAAGTTTAGTAGCACTGATGAGGCTCGGAAAACTGCTGTCACAACTAATTACAATCCTATTACTTTCCTGGTATTATAACAAAATTGAAAGCTAACAGGTGGCATTCATTTTAGGCATGGAATCAGTATACGGTTAGTTTAGTTCTGACCATTTGAGGATGAGAGAGGTAGTGCAAGCGGCATTTAAAGGGTAGGATTATAATTATGTGAAAACCTGTGGATTAGTTTGTTTCTTAATCTGCAGCAACAATGAAATTAGGGCATTTGGGACGAACGTGACCTTTGCACAAACTCTTAATCCTTTTAGAGTACAACATTTCTTGTCACATCCATTCACTTTAAACGGCATTCAACTCTACCCTGTCATGAGCTAGGATTGCCCATGTTAACCCCCTCCGCCCCCTTTCCAAACACCCAACCCAGGCATCAAAACACTTATAATAATAATAATAATAACACATTGCATTTGTATAGCGCCTTTGAGGTCGGGAGGACATCCCGAGGTGCTGGACAGTCAGGGATTCGGACCCTGATAAAGATTTAAAGTCGGGTGATGGGGATGTTAAATAAAAGGTTTGCGACAAGAGATGCAGTTTGAAAAGAGCCCCGACAACACACATTTCTCTTTTTGTGTGCGCGCGTGTGGTGTGGTTGGTCGGTCGGTCAGCCAAGTGTGCGACACACCAGGAAACCCACTGCCCGAGCCTAGGGTACAACAACAGCAACAACAACACATTTGTAGAGCGCCTTTCACGACGGGAGGACGTCCCGAGGCGTTGGGACAGTCAGGAGCTTCGGACCCGAGCTGGGGGGTCGGGATCGGGATCGGGGAGGGCGGAGAGAGAGCGGGAGGTGGGGGGGGGGGGGAGAGTGGTTGGTAGGTGTGGAGGGAGGGAGGTGGGGAGGGAGGGAGGAGGGTGGTCGGAAAGCGCGGTCGAAGAGGAAAATCTTGGGGGGATAACCTGCGTCACTGTTCGGTGAATGACTTAAAAAAAAATGAAGAGAGAGAGCAGAGAGTGAGAGAGTGAGAGAAGGAAAGAACGAAGGAAGGAAGGAAGGAAGGGAAGGAAAAAAGGAAAGGAAGGAAGGAAGGAAGGGAAGGAAAAAAGGAAAGGAAGGAAGGAAGGAAGGGAAGGAAAAAAGGAAAGGAAAGAAGGAAGGAAGGAAGGAAGGAAAAGAAAGAAAGAAAGAAAGAAAGAAGGAAGGAAAGAAGGAAGGAAGGAAAGAAGGAAGGAAAAGAAGGAAGGAAAAGAAAGGAAGGAAAAGAAAGAAAGAAAGGAAAAGAGATTAAAGTAAAGGCAAGGCAGCAGAGAGGCGAGACTGACCAGCGTGAGGCATGGTGATGGTCTCGTTGACATTGCCGGCCCCCACGTTGTAGATGACCACGGCGCTGGCGTTCTGCCTGGCGGCGTGCCAGATCTTCTCCCTGTACGTGCAGTTGCCGCGGGGCACCAGCGCGATCCAGGCCCGGGGGCCGCCGGGCCCGGAGGGAGGCGAGGCCGGGGAGGAGGAGGAGGAGGGGGAGGCCGAGGAGGAGGAGGAGGAGGCCTGGGCCTGGGCCTGGGCCTGGGCCTGGGGCACCTGGAAGCGGGAGTGCGGGTCGCAGCCCAGCCTGTCGTGGGGGGCGGGCAGGGCCAGGACCCCCCGGGCGTCCTGCTTGAGCGAGTGTTGGCCGTAGCGGCCGCACTCGCTCCGCTCCGAGCGCCACTCGGCCCCGCCGCCGGCCGCCTCCGCGTAGCTGATGTTGACGAAGGCCGTGTACCACTCCTCCTTCTCGGCCACCGTGAAGTCCAGGCTCAGCAGGTGGACGAAGCAGAAGGACAGCAGCCATGTTGAGAGCGCCAGACTGCGGCAGGCGCGGGCCAGGGACACCGGCATCATGAGGAGGGAGGGAGGGAGGGAGGAGGGAGGGAGGACGGTGGTGGTGGTGATGATGGTGGTGGTGAAGAAGTTGCTGCTGTTAAATAATATCCGATTAGCAGCTGCTCCCTCTCCCTCCTCCTCTCCCTCCTCTCCACACCGACTCTCTCTCTCTCTATCTCTCTCCCTCTTTCTCCTTCTCTCTCTCCTCTCCTCCCTTCCTTCCTTCCTCCCTTTTCTTTCTTGGTAGGAGGCAAAGAAGAGGAACAAAAGTCGTCTGTCTGTCTGTCTGTCTGTCTCTATCTCTCTCTCTCTCTCCTTTCCTTCCTTCCCTCCTCTCACTTTCTCGTCTTTTCCTCCTGCAAATCTTATAAACAATATGGGGGTCTCCCCCCCTCCTCTCTCTCTCTCTCCCTCTCTTTCTTTCTCTCTCTCTCTCTCTCTCCTCCTCCTCCACTACCACCAGCTCCACTTTACTGCAGGACAGACAGACACACACACACAACACACACACACAGACAGACAGACACAGACACAGACACACACACAACACACACACAGACAGACAGACACAGACACAGGGTATCTTTTTTAAAAAAAAACTCAACAAATAATCCAAATAAATCTGTTCCTACTCAGCAGCAGCAGCAGCACATGGTATCTGCAACCTGAGGGTTGTTGTTATTTTTTCCCCTTCTTGTCTCCCTCCCCCTCTCTCTCTCTCTCTCACACACACACACACACACATATATATATATATAAAAAAAACTATCTATATAAATGCATAACGTGGGTAAAGTTTCTTGCTGGGAGGCTTCTGACTGTGTCTGTCTGTCTCTCTGTGCTGTGGGGGGTGGAGGGAGGGAGGGAGGGGGTGGGGGTGAGGAGGCTCCTTTGCTGGAGGAGCTGCTGCTGCCTCTGCTCAGCTCCTCGCTCTGGATGCTGCTACACTGCTGCTGGAGGAGGAGAGTCATGATGTGGAGGAGCCTCCTTCAACCCCCCCCCCCCCCCCACCCCCACACCCTCCCTCCCCTCCCTCCTAATGGCTTGATACCGCGGAGAAAACTGACAACAAGCGCCACCAAGTGCAAGTCTCCAGTCAGCACCTGTCTGGGCCACTCGCTCCTGTCTCCACAGAGACCCAAGACCTTCACCCCCCCCCCCCCCACCCCACCACATACAGACATACAGACATATATCCTCACACCACTCAAGCCATCACTCGCATCTGTGCAGAGAGGAATGAGAGGGAGGGGAACGAATGAGAAGAAAGGGAGAGATGGGGAGAAATAACAATAATAATAATAGTCCTTGCATTTGAGATAGCGCTTTTCGCGTCTTCTCGACGTCTCAAAGCGCTCCACAGAATATACCGTAAAGTGAATTGACTGTCTATTTGTGGGCCAAACCCGGCAGACAATTGCGCACAGCAGTGTCCCACAAACAGTCGTGGATTGAAATGACCCATTTATTAGTGTTTTTTTTTCTTGAGGGATTATTATTAGGCTCTGTGTGGAGTAAGGAAACTTGCCCAAGGTTTCGCCCTCTGCCTGGAATCGAACCCAAGTCTCTCGCTTGCAAAGCGAGTGCTCTAACCACTGAGCTACAGGACTCCACTGGGAGGAATGAGAAAGAGATTGGGAGGAAACCAGCTCAGCTCCAAGGAACCCCAGCTTACAACCCCACCAGTCCCCCACGACAGTCACTAATTTTTTGATTTAATCACCATGAGGTATAGAGAGAGTAATAATATAATAATCCTTGTATTTGATATAGCGCCTTATATCTTCGAGACGTCTCAAAGCGCTTCACAGAATATACTGTGAAGTGAATTGACTATGTTTTGTGGGCAAAACCGTACGTTAGGAATACACAGGACTGGAACGTTCTTATGCATTGATACACTCATCAGTTAATTAATCTTTCCAGTCCAAATGGCCCGTCTCAAAATGCAAAAAAAAATTTGCACAGAAGTGGTCTTGAGCTTAATAGACTAAATACAGTACTTATAAAATAAACAGTTACTACACTTTGCAGTAAATCCTGTGAAATGCTTTCAGACATCCTGATGTGAAAGACTTTTAAGGTTATTAGGATAATTATTAACAGGTTTTGACAACATTCGAAGGTGCTATATCAAGTGCAAAGACTAGTTAATTTATAGAGATGGCGAGTTGAATTTTTGTGTCTACTCTTTGCCCTTTCCTTGAGTTCTTATGTTCTTTTCTTAGTTGCTCTTTGGGGGTTCAGAAAGCATTTATTATAAGAACAGTACTTTCTTTTTCCCCATCCCCAGGAATGGTGTGATAGGAGCAGGCTCGGGACTGAAATTATTTTCTCATTTCATGCAGACTCAATGGGCTGAATAGCCTCCTTCTGTGCTGTTAAAAAAATGCTGTGCTTTCTTCTTATGTAAGATTGTAATAGTAAGCCTCGCATCACCACCTTTCACTCCACTTCCTCCAGTACTGGATGGAGTCCAAAACCTGTCAAGTGCTACTGAAATTTTATATTGAGAAAAGCCAATAGTGCAGGACTAGACCAAAGGTTTAAAACAGTAGAAGAGTGTGAAACCAATCAAGAAATTAGAGGTTTAATGAAGCTTGTCAGAGCAAGAACAGAATAACAGAGGTAAAGTGTTCCATTAAAACAACAACAACAAAATTACATTTGTATAGCACCTTTCACATCAGGAGGACAGCCCAAGGTGCTGAACAGACAAGAGTTTCAGGCGCGAGCTGGGGGTCGGGATTGGGGAGGGTGGAGGGCAAGGCGGGAAGCAGGGTGATTGAAAGCACGGTTGAAGAGGCTCTCCTCTTGAGATGGGTCTTGAAGGAGGCAAGGGAGGCGGCGAGGGGGAAGGACTCTGGAATGGAGTTCCAGAGGGTGGAGGCAGAGTGGCTGAAGGCCCACCCGCCAATAGTGGGGCGAGCAAGGCGGTGGACGTGAAGCAGGTCAGAGCCGGCTGAGCGGAGGGAGCAAGCAGGATGGTAGGGGGTTGGGAGATCGCAGTGGTAGGGGGGAGCAGGGCCACGGAGGGCTTTGAAGGTGAGTACCAGGATCTTGAACTGTATCCTCAGTGTGATGGGAAGCCAGTGGAGTTGGGCGAAGATGGGGTGATAGGGCCAATAGAGCCTGGTGTGGGAGAGGACACGGGCTGCAGAGTTCTGGATGATCTGCAGCCTATGGAGGGAGGAGTTGGGGAGGCCGAGAAGCAAGGAGTTTGCATAGTCTAGCTTCAATGTAATGAAAGCAAGGATGAGGGTTTCAGCGGCCTGCGGTGAGAGACAGTGGCAGAGCCGGGCGATGTTGCTGTGGTGGGGGAAGGCAGAGCGGGTCGTGGCACGGATGTGGGGTAGAAAGGAAAGTTGAGGGTCAAACAAGACCCCAAGGTCCTGGACTGGCTCAGTAAGGTGGAGTGTGTATCCATGGATGGTGATGCTGTCAGCGCCTGAGGTGAGGAGGCGCTGACGGGAGCCAATCAGGAGAGCCTCGGTCTTTCTGTCTGACATTCTGTCAGACATCAAGTCCATAGTAATATAATATACTGTAAAGTGAATTGACTGTATATTTTGTGGGTGAAACATGTTAGCCAATTGTGCACAGCAGTGCCCCACAAAGAGTCATGGATTGAATGATCAAATCATTTTTTTTTAAGGAATTATTGCCCCCAGAAAAGCGATCCACCAATCGACTAACAACCGGGTTCCTACTTACTGCTTGGTAAACAGATGCAGTAAGGAAACTTGTCCAAAGTTTCACCCTGCCGGGAATCAAACCCAGGTCTCTCGCTTGCAAGGCATGTGCTCTAACTACTAAGCTACAGGACTCCACGCAGGACTAGTCATGAAAAAGAATGAGTCGTAGTACAACTGTGCATTTTAAATTTATTTCAACATCACAAGATGTTACAGGTATTCTATTGTCTGGCGTATCTTGATAGAATGTTCTCAGGAGCCCCTTTTCTTGGTCAATACAAATTTCAGTTGCACTTGGCTTCGCACTTTCCAAGTCTATTTTGTGACATGCAATGTTTACATAACAACAACAAATGATTTAAGTGCAAACAATCAAGTACAGGCTAACCAGAGTCCACAGTAAAACACCGGGAATCAATTCAGTCTCCACTAGATAAAGATGGGAATACATCCAAAATTGCACCAGCTCCTTTTCCAATTAAATAATAAGCTTTCAAGCCCAAATATTAAATCTGTTCAAACATAGATTTTAATAGTGATAAGTAAAATAATTAAACACAATAGAAAAGTGAAAGGTTTTGCTAGCAATCCTTTTCTTCAAGGTGCAAACAAACAATCAGTGAAGTAGGTCTCTCTCTCAATTTCTTTGATTTTTTTGAAAAAAAGTTGACCCATAGTCCCCATCTGGCCTCTCCAGTTAAACAATTTTGGAGGTTTCTTCACACTAAAACCAAGACCTTTAAATCATAAATAAATCAATCATTTGAGATGGAGGTCAAGTTTCAAAGGATTCATTCAATTCGAGGTATGAAAAAACTCAACCTTTGTGTTGGAGAACACCTTTATCTAAACACATTCACACTTGAGTGTGAACAATTTGAAAGGCAAAACTCATTCGACTCTTCAAGACATAATGAAACCACTATTGTTGACGACAGCTTTTCGAATTTTAAAAAAATGTGACACAAGTATGTAGGATCGTATAGAACTGAATGTATAGGTACTGTCGACCTGGTTGGTCTCAAATTAAAACAAACTAAATACTGTAATCCTGTACTATCTCTCATACTCAATTGATTTCTCCTGCGGATCTAAACTCCTCAACCTCCCAGGGCTCTCCCTCAGGCTCAGCGAACCAGTGCGCAACCTAGGCGTCCAGTTCGACCTCCGACTGTTCTTCCTCCCCCACATCCGGTCCCTGACCAGGACCGCTTTCTTCCACCTCTGCCACATTGCCCGCCTCCCACAGTACCTTACCCCAAATGCAGCCCAAACCCTCGTGCATACGTTTGTCACCTCCCGCTTGGATTACTCCAATGCACTCCTCGCCGGT